GATTTCTTCAGCTGCTCCTTTATCACAATTTAACACAACTTGTACATAAACCTACGCGGAAGAAGAAGAAGAAGAATAACTTTATTTATGAAGTCCAGCGAAGTTGATTTGGGGCGGGCCTAGGCGTCGGCCACGAGCCCTTGGGCTCGGGCGGCTTCCTCGGCTCGCTGGACGGCCCACAGTTGTTGTTCGAATGAGGAGCTGAGCAGAGCCCCCTCCCAGCGTGTCCTGCGGTCCGAAACTGCCTCTTCGTGGTTTTCATCGTTGCTTTCATCTAAACTCGAGCATTCCCATAGTATATGTGAAAGTGTCGCCCTTTCATCGCAAACCTTGCATTTTTCTGTTAAATACAGATCAGGGTAACAGAGACTAAAGAGAACTGGATTCGGATAAGTATATGTTTGCAGTTGTCGCCACGCAACTGCCTGTTTTTTATTTAACCTGTTGTGTGGCGGAGGGTACTTTCGCCTTTCTAGCTTATAGTGCTGCGTTATTTCGTGGTAACTAGTCATGCGGTCCCCCCACTCCCACTCCCCCCCGCGTGGAACTTCGTCCGAGGCGGCGTCGGCGTTCGCAACGGCTCGGTTCGTGAGTGCTCGAGCCGCCGCGTGCGCCGCCTCGTTGCCGGCCAGCGGGGTTTGTGTGTAAGGATCGGGTTTTAGACTTGGTCCTAACTTACAGCCCCGAAATCTGTAGCAAACGCGTGCTAGAAGAAATCAGTGATCACAGGGTTGTCCATTGCTTGGTTTCACTTCCTACTGCAAGGAAATCAAAAAATAAAAAACAGTTGCTGAACTATGCGCGTACAGACATGACAAAAATGAACAGTATGCTACACACTTTCGCAGCGGAATTTTACGAATACTTTGACGACCGTACAACTAATGAAAACTGGTGTTTGTTCCGGGATAAACTAAAACAAATTGAAGCTACCTGTGTTCCTAAACTAACAATAAGTTCTATATCAGATGATCCATGGTTCACGCGAGACGTAAAACGCGCCCTGAACAAGAAGAAAAGGGTTTACAGAAATGCAAGTCGCTCGAACTGTCCCCAAGATTGGGAAGCTTACGAAAACATTTCAGCTGAAACACACAGCATCATTTTTCAAGCTAAAGATAAATTCTTTAACGAAACGCTACCTAACCTTATGAGAACGGACCCTAAAAAATTTTGGAATATCGTGAACCCCAAAAGCACCCACTCAACAGCAGTATTAATGAGGGAAGACGGCAGCACCTTATCGGTAGAACACTCCGCTGAAAAATTCAACAAACACTTCACTACGGTATTCACTGACGAACTTCCACTGAATGATTCTCTTTCACTGTCACAACTGCCCATTGAATACCCTTTTCCAGCAATCCTAATAACAGAGCACGGTGTAGCTAGCGCTATCAGCCGACTTCCCCTTAAAACCAGTCCCGGACCCGATGGCATCAGCGCCAAACTACTTAAATTAACCTGTCAACATTCAGCTAAGTTGCTTGCATTCATTTTCCAGCAATCCCTTGACTCTGGTTGTATACCAGATGACTGGAAATTGGCTAATGTGGTACCCATCTTTAAGTCCGGTAACAGCAATCACCCCAACAACTATAGGCCGATTTCACTCACGTCAATTTCGTGTAAGTTACTAGAGCACATCATACACTCCCAGGTCATGCGTCACCTCAACCGTAACAATTTACTTCTTCAAACCCAACATGGCTTTCGAGAAAAATTATCATGTCAGACTCAACTTTTCGAACTCGTGACAGACCTGCACACAGCTGTTCATATGTCCATCTGCATCGACGCGCTTTTCATAGACTTTTCTAAGGCTTTTGATCGTGTTCCCCATAACCGGCTAATGTTAAAAATACGTCACCTCAGCCTCGACCAGAAAACGACTGCATGAATACAAGAATTTCTAAACAACAGGTCTCAGTCAGTTAAACTTAACAACTACATATCTCATCCTCTTCGTTCAGCGAACTGGGAGCGCAGAGAAAAAACACAAAGGACGAAGCGAGGAACCACACAACACGAGCGCTCATGTCACACAACACACAACACGAGCGCTCTTTGAGCGCTCGTGTTGTGTGGTTCCTCGCTTCGTCCTTTGTGTTTTTTCTCTGCGCTCCCAGTTCGCTGAATGAAGAAAATGAATTACCAACTGGCTCACATTTTGATCCTGTTGTGATATCTCATCCTACCCGAGTAACATCTGGTATGCCACAAGGCAGTGTGCTGGGTCCTCTTCTCTTTTTAGTATACATTAATGACATTGCATCTAACATAAGTTCATCAATTCGTCTTTTCGCGGACGATTGCGTTGTTTATAGGAAAATAACTTGCACAGATGACGTTGCAGAACTACAACAGGATCTTACCAGGTTAGGGGAATGGTGCAGCAAATGGCAAATGGAAATTAATGTCAAAAAAACCAAGCACCTAATGTTTACTAATATCACTTCTGCATGCTATAGCTCTTATAAAATAAACGATTCGATAATGGAAAAAGTCACGTCATTTAAGTATCTGGGCGTAATACTCACTTCAGATCTAAGCTGGACTGCTCACATAGAGTATACTACTAATAAGGCTCTCAAGAAACTCGGCCTCCTTAAGCGTCGTTTGCATTTCACTAATAAGGACACAAGACTGCGCGCTTTCAATTCATTGATTCGGCCATCCCTAAAATACGCTTCAATCATATGGCATCCTCACCAAATCGGTCTTACTAACATGCTCGAAATGGTACAGAATAAAGCTGCTCGGTTCATCTCATCATCCTACTCGCGTTACATAAGTGTTTCTTTACGAAAATCGGACCTTAGCCTTACCACACTTGACATGCACAGGCGACATACTCGACTATCTTTCTTTCACTCACTTTATCACAGCAACTCATCCTTCGCCCAGTCTCATATCTTTCCAGTCCCTCATACTTCATCCCGCCTCGATCATGCGCACAAGGTGGCCCCCATTTTCGCTAGGACCAAGAAGTTTCAAAATTCGCCATTATCATTATGCATAATCGAGTGGAGTTCTCTTCCATCTAACATCGCCGAAATAACAGATCCTTCCATATTTAACTCCATGCTTCAGGGCTATTTGCATAGTGAAAAACATGGCTGACCTGTGTCTGATTGCCCTCGTTTCGTCTGCTGTTTTTGCTCCCGATACTTATTCAGTGTTCTTCGATGTAATTTTCTTGAGTGTTTTCATTATTATTGTACTATTGAATATGTACTCAATTAATGTTGGTGAACGTACTTGACTTGATGCTGTGATTCGATTTATTCGCTGTTTCCTTTTTATTGTTACTTTTTTGTATTCTGTTTTCCGTTCATGTTGCTTGAAATGTATGTATTCACTTAAATCCCCCGCTAAGTAATGCCTAATGGGGCCTTTAGGGTATTGAAATAAATAAAATAAATAAATAAATAAACTGGTACTCTCGATGGCCCGAGGCATGGCCCCTCGAGGGACTCACGGCGGAAAACGTCGCCTTGGCCGTAAATTAACGGACTCAGGCCCACATGCATCGCTGTTAACGGCACGGGCAGCGCCACTCCTTTTACAGGCAACCTTCTACAGCCACCGACATCGCAGCCCGCACCCTTCATGACACGCTCTGCACGCAAACTCAAGTCAAACGTTATTTAAAACACGCACGAAGTACAATGTTGGAGGCCATCCAGACATGAACGCTGTAAACATACAGCTTTACGAGGCTAAGGGGCCAACACCAGGCAACAGCAACAGTGTGCACAAGTGCAGTACAAACAACACTTTTCGATGTTGTAAAAACAAATATTTACACGCGTACTTACTGTGAACAGGTTAGAATACCTGTGAATAGTGAATAATGTTACCGCCAAGAACGTATTGTTATCTTACAATGCAAAAATCGATAACAAAAACAGTAGCGAAAAAAGAAAAACGAAAGGAAAGAGCATGCACGTGATGAGTGCATCGTAAAACGCATAGATACAAGGTAAATTTGCAAGCCTTAGGCATAAATTTGGAACTTATCGAACAGAGAGACGTCTGGTACGGCTCCCAGATTTCAGCAGACTCGGGGAGATCTGAACTACGTGGGGGTGATGTGGTGACACACTGCGCACAAACCGGCGCAGCTAGCCTGTCTCGGCTGCATGCGGCGACCGGTGTCTGATAAGGTACAGCTCAACCGCAGCGCCACCGAAGGCTGCCGTCGTCATTGGTGGCTGTAACCCCAAGCGGCCGAACCAGCCTGAAATAGGATTATTGTTTTATAACCATTCAAGCAGACCGTCGGTATGCTCACCCCGTTGCAGCTACGACGTTGACAGTCATGTTTTATTTTGGAGGCGTCGTTTTATCTACACGGCATGCCACCCACTTTTCCGATGATGTTCCTGATGCCCATAATTTCTGGCATCGGCGAAACAGCCCCGCACTCTAGAAAAAAAAGGTAGTTTGGGGAGTACATCTTTCAGGTCAGTATACTCATTTATCTAACGTACTTTTGTTGCGTGATCAGCATGGCCCTGACATTTCCAGTCAAGAACAACGGGCGCATTATCAGCGTTACATTACGTTTTTAAGGAGAGTGAGTCCTGGATCTGGCGACTCGACAAGTGGACTAGTCTTTTTTGAGGCTGCGACTGATTATGTACATTGGAATTCAGTTGTAGCCTTGGCGAAGTCCAGTCCACTTGCCGAAACGTCAGCTTCAGCATGCTCCCTCCGCCCCCCCCCCCCCCTCATTTACGAAAACCTCATCGCTAGATTTTATGACGGCCAGTTCGTTATTTTTTTATTGTTAGCAAAGTTGCAAGATATGGTCTTTCAAAGGAACTCAAGCAAGAAAATGACGATTACAGTTGTGTGTCAGCAATACTGCCCAAGTAGTCGATTTTTTCGTTGGCTGCTCCATGCTCCGCCTGAAAAATGGGCGCGTCCCGCTGCCGCAGAATGCTTCCCTCCACTCTGATAGACATCGGTCCAGCAATTCATAATAAAATGCATTTGTGAGCACACGTCACTCAAGCACTTGGTTTATTTTCTAAACTATGATATGAATAATTCTCTTGTCGGCATTCCTACGTAGACAGCCGCAGCTACTCCTTCTTTCTGTCGATGATTCTGAGCTTAACTTTGTAGGGAAGAAGTAGTAGAATGGTTGGATGATACTTGGGAGGAATCTGCAAATACAAAAAAAAGTCATGACGTCACATAACTCATTCATGCACAATGAGATTGGTATCGGTGATATTCAAGACAGATGTCAGTGCAGAATAATTTTAACAGGCATTAGAAAAAATGTTTTGTTTTTTCGTGAGAAGAAATAATCTATATCCTTTATGGGTCTATGGTTATCTTCCTTCTTGGACAAATATTAGCGCGAAAAAGACGGGACGGGAAAGAAGAGACTAACAATAGCGCTAATTTTCAACGAAAATGCATTTTAAACAAAGGGGAATAAATAAAATCTGCAAAAGCCATAAAAAGAACCATCACGCAAGCGCCTTGTGACAAAACACAACAAAAGGACAAATAGTTCATCAGGCACGCAGACTATTCCTGAGGCTATGAAACTTCTGCATATGACAGGGCTAGGAAAGGCTGGCTGATACAATTATTACCTTTCAGCGACATCAAAGCCCCCCATGATTTCCCGTAAGGGCTGGTCTCTGTGGCAATTGCAAGATTTCCGTTTCAGCAAAACAAAGATTACAAGCATTTATGTGGCAATAATGGCAAATTGGGACCTGTGCCATTATTTGACATTACGTGCAAGCTCCAGGATTCGCATGTTTTGCACTGATTAGTTCGCCCTATGTAAACCTTCTAGCAAGAACATGGAATCTTGTATATTACATTAATTCGACAACCTATAATTTATTGTATGGTTTACTTTGCGTTTTCGCCATTTGTCATATTTTTTACCGTATAGTTTCGTTGCCACACTTGGACATACTTGCCGCAACTTTTGGCCAACGCTGAATACATCAACTTGGCATCTAGTACCGACATTTTCAATCCCTTGTGATAGCTTATGCGCATAAGGAATCACAGCTGAATCCTTCCGAGTCGGAGTGTGATTGTCTTCTGTTGTGTGCGTTGGTATGCTGTAATGCGTTAAAGTCCTTGAGTTACATAAGGCGCAATATTAGAAATTCACCCGCTAATATTCGTACACCAGCTCACCTCACCTTTGTTCGCACACAACTTAAGCTCGCATCTTCCATTTGGTCAACGCTCGAAAATCTATCCAAACTAGGGCAGCACGATTCATAACACGAAACTATAGTAGTAGTGTCATACGAAATGAAACTGGTATTTGCCTACAGACCTTAGCAATGTGCCGTGACATGGTCCCATTAACATAATTCCACAAGTATGCCCACTCTGGCAGGTCAAGTTCACTTCATCTCGATGTTCTATTCTGAACAACCAGAAGATAATTTGTGTTTCACACGCATATACGGTCACACATTAACATTCAACTCATCGACACTTCCACGACCCAATACATAATGGACTAACCTGCCAGACAACATAGTTTCCTTCTCCAACCCTGACAAATTCCACCACCAACTAATTGCTCATTTACACTGAAGCTGTTGATTATTCTTTAGTAAAAAGCAAATGTTTGTGTGCATGAGTATGTATATATGTGTATTGTACCCCTATATTGTATACCTGATTTACTTATTCACTATGCATTGTGCATTACGTACGGTGTCGATATTTAAGAAAGGAACATGGCGACGCGTGGCCTGCGCGCTCCAGATGGATGGATGGATTGATATGGCTGTGCCCTTTAGAACGGGTGGTGGCTAACGCCATCAAGCCGTAATACTTAGTGAACCAAAAATTAGATTTATTTTTTCCCTTTAAATAGTGAGGTTGAGGACTCGTACTTTGCATTGAAGGGTTTAATTTTCACTGGTGCCTTGACTTTAGCCACCAATCAGATAACCTCCTTCTAGTTTATTCTACCCGCTTAAAGTCTATTTTGCCCTCCCTGTCCCTAAACCCCAGTGTTTTGAAAAACTCTGCGCCATCATCCTGGACTATAGGGTGAAGCCCTTTACGAAACATTATCAAGTGTTCGGCAGTTTCTTCTTCCTCTCTACACGCACTGCATGCCATGTCTACCCTTTCGTATTTGGCCCAATATGTCTTTGTTCGCAATACTCCCGTTCTGGCCTCTAACAGTAGAGAACTAACCCGAGTATTATGATAGATCCTTTCTTGGCAATTTCCTGCTTAAAAGTTTGACAGATCTCTAGTGCGGACTTCCTAATCACGCCAATTCTCCACATATTGATCTCAGCTTCCTTCACCCTCTTCTTTACTGACAATTCTTTGAAGTTTGGCCTCCTGCTGTTTTCTAAGTATTTGCCAGTAAATTTCCGGTTCGCTTTCTCAATTTTGTATCGACATTCTTCATGTACAAGTAGCTGAATTGTCGGCTGCTAACAGTGTGCTCAAGCGGGAGCGAGGGCAACCACAGTCTCTCTTCACGTCATCTCGTGGCAAGCTAAACAATCATTTGTAGCTGTTATAGTACAGCATTATTGCAACCCCCCCCCCCCCCTTCAAGGCGATTACTGGCTCTCGCGTTATTGCCTTCAGCCCTAGTTCACACTGAAACATCCGATTTCTACAGTGACCAAAATACTGCCACTGAATAGCAGCGTCGTTCGCACTGTACGCGCCCCTCGCCGCGAAATATGCCACCTACCACGGTGCGGAAACGGAATGGATGTGCTGTCACCCGTTTGCTGTCGCAGCTCACCGACAAAACAACGCTATCCGGTGGTCTAGACTTCGATGATTCTCGAACGCAGGCAGCAAAAATAAGTAGTACTGCCTACTTTACTGGCAAGTCGCTGTCTTGTAAGGCATGAAGAACAGAAAAAAACCGCCAATGCCAGCGGCGTCGGTGGGTTTGTCTTGCTCTTCTAATACTGCGACGAGCTTGGTCGTGCTAACGAAAAGCCCGGTGACCTCTTCCACGAAAGAGGGACTTGAAGTAGGCACAGAGTGAGCTAAACTTCTGTTGGCTACAGCATTCCGTTGCGTGCACTGCGACATGACAAGTGAGAAGGACTTGGTCGCCATTTTTCATAATTTCTGAACCAGCGCTTCTATTGATCCGTGGCGACTGATTCAGTGGCAGACGCCGCAAAAATTGATTGATTGATATGTGAGGTTTAACGTCCCAAAACCACCATATGATTATGAGAGACGCCGTAGTGGAGGACTCTGGAAATTTCGACCACCTGGGGCTCTTTAACGTGCACCCAAATCTGAGCACACGGGCCTACAACATTTCCGCCTCCATCGGAAATGCTGCCGCCGCAGCCGGGATTTGAACCCGCGACCGGCGGGTCAGCAGCTTAGTACCTTAGCCACTAGACCACCGCGGCGGGGCGCTGCGAAAATTGGTCCGAGAGTAATCTGTGCTGAGAGGGCCCGTTCGGCGGATCTCGCCGCCGCTGAATCTCATTCTGTACACTTTTGGCGGCCGGAATGCTCAGTGTAAACGCGCCCTCAAAGGGGAGGGGTCGCAGTCTTGCCGATGGCTCCATATCAGCAACGAATGGTTGTTTTCCTTGCCGGGAGATGACGTGAAAACAGACTTTGGTTGCTCTCGGTCCCGCTTGAACCCACTGCGAGCAGTCTCGGGAGTGCGCAGGCCACGCGTTCCCGTGTTTCCTTTCATAAAAATTTACATTGTACATGGTATGTATGAGGTGTTCAATTTTTTTCTGTGTCGTTCCTTAGTGGTGTTTTATTCCTTTACATTTTTTTTGCTCATTGATGTTATTTTAGAGACCCCCCCCCTCCCTTACACAAAGTCCGACAGGCCTGTAAGGAATTTCAAATAAAGAAATATAAATAAATAAAAGTACCTACTCACGTTAATATTAACACCAAAGCAATCGGTAGTCATTCATTATCATACTCACACCTAATCAAACTCACAGGGACTCGCCTTGATACTCACACCCACTGATGCTAATTCAGAAGTGATGTAGCTCGGGTGATTTGGTCACTTATGAACTTAGGTTGTGATAGCGTGGTACATATTCGAAGGAAACGCAATAGAGACGTCAATAAAGCTACTTGCTAAACTTCAAACTTTGATGCCATTCGCACCCGTTTTATACATGCGCAAAAATATGTCATCTTGCACGTGACCTCATTCCAAGTTTCTTCATTTCTCGTTTGGTCAAAGCGATTGATTGAGCACTCACACACACACAAGTTTACTGTAAATTCTATTGCTTAGGCGTCTTTTATTAAATGCGTCAACTTATTCCGAGACCGGCCGAGAACGATACAGCTGCGCAGATAAGCAGAGCACCCACAGCCTTTTTAGTACGGTGCTAGGAACGCTCCCGCCGAAACTATTTCTTGTGCGGCAGCTGTGTTTCCGCAGTCTATCATTCAGACATCACTTAGTCTGCCCTATATTATACTTTGCGCACAATAATGAAAACTTGTTGACCACGCAGCACTCACAATAAAAAAATGTGACATTGTGTGTCTTAGCACATGCTAAGTGAGCGACATTATTTGGGCAAGTCAACTTGATAGGTTACAGAAGTTTTTTTTTTTGAGGTTGGCTGAAAAAACAAATCGCACGTTTGCCTGCTGGCCCACTTCTTTCAAGTAGTCAGGAAAAGTGTGCAAATACGGGATCACACCTACTCTGCAGCCTGAAAAGTCCAAGTCTTGTTACACGTTTACTTTGCTTGAATATTTTAGGATGCGTTCGGGAACAGACATATGCACCAGAATTCAGTAACTTGCTTTGGTGAGAAGCTGGCATTCAATATCGAACTGGATGTCATTTTGTGGTCAGGGTGACATCCTTTGTCAGGACATTTTTCAAGCAAGTTCGCGATGTCTCTCTTATCGAGCTTTGAGTGCGCAGACACAAAAAAAAGATGCACATTTATTCGTGGTTAATACGACCAGCATGCGTGCTCTTTTTAGAAAAACAGCCAGATGTGCAAAAACTCAATAGAGACCCCTTAATGTAGCTCACAAGTAACTTCAAGGGGTACAAGCCAGCCATTATTCGTGGTCAACGCATCGTCAACCATCACTTCTATGTGAACAAGAGCACAAATAAAAACAGGAAGTCATCGACCCAACAAAATGCTTCACATAATTTCGTGTT